GGAATAAACATGGGGAAATAGCTTTACTTTATGTAATGACTCATCCACTCCCAGGACACAAATCAGATGTCAAGAATTATAACATTCATAAACCAATCAGAGAACACTTCAATCTCTCTGGTCACTCGATTACAGACCTAAAAGTCGCAATATTATAACAAAATGTATTTTTTTTTGTTGTAAATAAAACAGACTCCAACGAGAGACTGCTGAATTGGAATTAATTTGCAAACTGGATACAATTAACTTAGGCTTGAATAGAGACTGGGAGTGGATGAGTCATTACACAAAGTAAAACTATTTCCCCATGTTTATTCCCCCCCACATACACACACTGTTCCTCAGAGGTTCTTGTTAACTGCTGGAAATGGCCCACCTTGATTATCACTACAAAAGCTTTTCTTCTCCCTCCCCCTGCTCCCCCTGCTTTCCTGCTGGTAATAGCTCATCTTAAGTGACCACTCTCCTTACAGCGTGTATGGTAACACCCATTGTTTCATGTTCTGTGTGTATATAAATCTCCTCACTGTATTTTCCACTGAATGCATCCGATGAAGTGAGCTGTAGCTCACGAAAGCTTATGCTCAAATAAATTGGTTAGTCTCTAAGGTGCCACAAGTCCTTCTTTTCTTTTTGTGGATACAGACTAACACGGCTGCTACTCTGAAACCTATGTTACTAGACTATATCCCTTCTGCCCACCTGACTAATTATTACTGCTTGGGATCCTCTGGGATGAAAGTTGCTGTTAATGACTTTCGAAGTGTCCATTTGGAGTCATGTAATCACCTCCAAATGCTGCAGAAGAGTCTACAAGTGATTGCTATAGCTTTTGCCTTATTTATTGGACCCATTCCTATGGTATAAATGTGGGTGACCTTTTCCCCCATGAAAACAAATATAGCTCTATGGAATCTTCTTGGTTTTATGTTCTCTCGCCAGAGATGCTAATAGCTTCATTGTTCGAGTTTTTTTTAAGTTTTCAGCTGATGAAAAGCATATGTCCACAGTAACCTTTAATAGTCTGTTAATGCCCAATGGTAAACTTTAGGAACCTTCCTGTTTTCAGTTAGTTCTTCTTGGTTTGATTATATTTAGATTTCTACATTATACCTGTCTAGCTGCCCAAGAAACTACAAGCGTCATAAGAACATAAGAATGGCCAAACTGGGTCAGACCAAAGGTCCATCCAGCCCAGTATCCTGTCTACTGACAGTGGCCAATGCCAGGTGCCCCAGAGGGAGTGAACCTAACGGGTTATGATCAAGTGATCTCTCTCCTGCCATCCATCTCCACCCTGTGACAAACAGAGGCTAGGGACACTATTCCTTACCCATCCTGGCTAATAGCCATTGATGGACCTATCCTCCATGAATTTATCCAGTTCCCTTTTAAACCCTGTTATAGTCCTAACCTTCTCAGCCTGCTCAGGCAAGGAGTTCCACACGTTGACTGTGCGCTGTGTGAAGAAGAACTTCCTTTTATTTGTTTTAAACCTGCTGCCCATTAATTTCATTTGGTGGCCCCTAGTTCTTATAATATGGGAACAAGTAAATAACTTTTCCTTATTTACTTTCTCCACACCACTCATTTTATATACCTCTATCATATCCCCCCTTAGTCTCCTGTTTTCCAAGCTGAAAAGTCCTAGCCTCTTTAATTTCTCCTCATCAATCAAATTTATTGCAAGTCAGAAGGACATTAGAGGCTGTCCATTAAACTGTTTGAGGCTTTCCTAGGTGCTACCACAATAGAAATAAGAAATAACAAGCAGCTAGCTACATGTTGCACCACCTGTAAAGAAATGGATGACTTAGACATGATCTCTTTCTCAAAGAAACACTCACAGTCTGGTTCTTAAATGATCATGGCTGACATTGCCACTTGGACTTCCAGAAGTTGCTGGAGCTGTAGGTTTGAAGCATTAGCAACAAACAGGCATAACCCCATAATTGGTGGTCTAATCTGGTGAACAACTGAAAAACAATTCTGCTGGTGGAACTACTTAATGTTCAAGGAGTCTACAATACAGTTTGTGTTGCATCTGGAATTTATGCTTGGTCCTTTTACAGCATCATTCATCAAGGAACTTGAGCCGCTTAACCATTGTTTAATATTTACAATACTGCAGGGAGAAAAAGGAATATTATCTCTCTCTTCCAGATGAAAAAATGAGATGTGGAGAGGGTAAAGGCATGATTTACAGAGGTTCTGAGAACTTCACCTGAAGTCAACATAAACTGCAAGTTCTCAGCACCTATGGAAATTGGGTCCGAGTGATTTGTAAGTCACACAGCAAGTTTGTAGTTAGAATATAGGTCTTTTGTCTCCCCGATCCTAACAACAAGACCATCCATCTTTCTTCGTGCTTCTTCATGGAGAGCAGTGGTGTATTCAACACATACTTCACTATTATTTCCATATTGTCACAAATAAGGTGGAACTCATGCTTGGTGCAGAGCATCTGAGGTTCGTAGTTCTTTACAATAGTCTTGTTCCAATTTTGTAAACACATATAGGGAATTGGAACCCACAACTCCCAGCCTCCAAAACACATGCGTTTCCCGAGAATTTGTTTTAATTATGAGATCCATGTTCCTCTTTTTTTCTATCTTGTTTTATTTGCGTGGTAAATAATTACTCTTATTTTAATGATTTGTACAGCACCCTGATGGGAAAGGCAGGCACTCTAGTAGATAAAATAATTACTCAGTGAGGTAGAGGAGCAACTCCTTTGGTTTGAGCAGTAGGGGGAATTTAGAGTCGGGCCCAAATTGCAAAGTTCAGATCCAGACTTTCCAAACACTCCGATCTGTTTGAATTCAGGATTTTATTGGGCCCACCTCTGTTATGAACCTTCTTTCTGCTCTTTGTACTTTCTTCTGTGCTGCCCCCTACACCTGGAACTCCCTTCCTCCTCCCAATCCACCTGGCCTCTCTCCTCTCCGATCCTTGGAGCAGAGATAATATCTCCCCCATGCTTTGTACAGAACCAAGTACACTGAACAATCAATGCATATCTGATCGGGTTGGAAGGGCCTCAGGAGGTCTCAATCCAACCCCTTCAGGGACCATCCCCAATTTTGCCCGCCGTCCCTAAATGCCCCCAAGGATTGAACTCACAACCCTGGGGTTTGGAGGGCCATGTTTCAACCCCTAGGGCTTTCCTCCCCCCTAATGGACTGTCTTGTCCCCAGCTAAGGGGGAAAACGCTGAAGGGCCAGGAAACCCCATGAGTCCCACTGTGCAGTGTCCTTCAGATCATTTCCTCAGGGAAATTGTAATTGCCTGTGAAAACAGCAGGGGACATGATTTTCCTAACTCCCTGCCATGCGGCATTATGAGAGGAATTCCCACAGATTTCTGGACATCTGTGGAAGGCAGAGGCATTTATGTGGAGGCCCAGAGACTGTGCACAATTTCTCCGATCTCTTATTTTGTCTGAGATGCTTTGCTGTCTGCTTTTTTGGGAAGATCATGAATAGTGTGGAGAAAGTGAATAAGGAAGTGTTATTTACCCCTTTCCATAACACAAGAACCAGGGGCCACCCGATGAAATTAATAGGCAGCAGTTTTAAAATAAATGAAAGGAAGTACTTCACACAACGCACGGTCAACCAGTGGGTTCAAAAAAGAATTAGATAAGTTCCTGGAGGATAGATCCATCAATGGCTATTAGCCAAGATGGTCAGAGATACAACCCCATGCTTTGGGCGTCCCAAGCCTCTGAATGCCAGAAGCTGGGACTGGATGGCAGGGGATGGATCACTTGATAATTGCCCTGTTCTGTTAATTCCTTCTAAAGCATTTGGCACTGGCCACTGTCTGAAGAAAGGATACTGGGCTAGATGAACCATTGGTCTGACCCAGTATGGCCGTTCTTATGTTTTGCCACAACTGCTACTACCAGTGTGCAGAGAGGGAATGTGTTTAAACATCACTGAGACCCTGGGTATCATAGTCACCTATCTCAGTTTGCTGGGCGGAAGCACTGTCTTGTGATTTAGAATCCTGTCACTAGAGTCTGAGAGAAGCCTCGAGCTTTTACTGTTATCACGTAGTGTATATTTGCTACCATACGCTTTGCTGAAGGGATAGTATGGGAACTGGCACCCTGCCATAGATACCTAGCAAACCCAATTCAAATTTGCTGTCTTATCCCCCTTTGGAGGATAAAGCATGTACAAGGCTGGAATAGAGGTGATAGGAAACTGCATGTGGTGCATGGGGAAATGATTGTTTGGGGGTGGGAATTAGGTTTATAGGAAGGCACTTATGCTTGGAAGGGTGCCCTTTTCCTGTACCAAACAGCTTTCTTTTCCTTCATTTCCTCCATGTAGTCTCCAAGGCTGATCTTCTCCTAGTTACCACCACTTCTAGAAACACCATCACATGGGGGCTCTTAAGCCTGTGGTGTCAAATTCTGAGGTGCTTACTCAACTTTTGAAAGGCCTTTCTAAGGAAAAAACTCTTTTGAAGTCAGTGACAGTTTTGCCTGAGGAAGGGATTAGTGAAAACTGAGTAAAGAAGGACCTCAGGATTTGGCCCCTAGTCTATACTCTTTGAGCCAGATTATCCCTTTACAGTAGTTTATATTGCGAGTAACACACTGAAGCCAATGGAGTCGCACCAACGTAAGAATGGTATGAGTGAGAAGAGAATCGGGGCCTCTGAATCTGAATTAGACTGTAAAGTCGTTGGGATAGGGCCTGTCTCCTCTACAATGTGGAGCGCATTATCCTCCCTCCAAGGTAATGCTGTTATAGTCTGTAGGAGCTTTAAGATTGTTGGTAGGAGTCAGTCTCTTCTGATGAATGGGCAATCTTAGGAGAGAATCTCTTTTGGGTTTTTTGTGTGTTCAAGCCATCTCACTACATGACTGAGAACTGTCAAAGAGGAAGGGGAGTGGTGCCTCCCGCATCTCAGATTCTAGGAAAACAGTAGAATTTTTAACCTCCCCAGATCCCAGGCCCTTTTAACCACGATCCCTTTTTTTCCAGCGGCTAATTGTCCTGCAGCCTGCTTTCCTACCGGTGTGTTCCCCCTGACACACCCCGTCAGCCACAATGCTGCATATATGCTCTTTAGAGACCTGTGCCTGGCGGGCATAGAGCAGAAGATCAGTGGATTAAATACTGGCCCTACTGAAGTCAACAGTAAAACTCGTACTGGGAAGGGGCTTTCCACACCAGCTAGTTGGAAAGTGCTGGCTGGAACTACTGTAGTGAAAGACGGAAGAGGACCAGGACGGAGGCAGCAGGCCCTGGATTTCAGGGAAGAAACGGTTGGGTCCAGTAAGGAGCTGAGGCCATGTGCTATTATACACACTGGAAAATCCTCATATAGAACTAATCATGCAATCACCTCTCCAGTTGTGGACTGCTACTTCCCCACATCCCGGACGGTAGGATAGGGACCCACAGAGTTGTAAGGAGTGCTCAGCGTGAGCATGCTGAACAGGTTCTGCTGAGCCGCTGTAAGTTGGAAAAGTGCAATTCCTTAATGCAACATTTGAGAATCAAGCTGGTTTCCTTTCTCCTCATACATCACCAGGTAAATGAAAAGGCTAAGTGAGGCCCTTGGGGAAAAGGAACAAATGCCACATGAGAAATGCTGGTCATATTGATTAGTATAGTTCTAGATACCACAGTGATGAGGGAAATGAAAGAACCAGTGTACAATCCTGTTGTGTTCATATCACGCTATAAGTGACACCTCTGCAACCCTATTACTTTCCACAGCTAGCACCGATGTAACTGCTTGGAACTTGATAGACTATGTTTTGATGATGCAAAAAAGGGAACAGAATCCAGCTCCTTCCTCTGTAGCTGTGTTGGCTCCTACAGGGCTATCGGGTCAAAAGCAGTAATGTTTTGTTGGAGTTCCCAAGGTTAGCAGATCTGGCCCTGAATACACCCAGAGGACAGAGCTGTTCTATAAGACAGTGTCATTTCTATATTGCCATTTTTTGGACGGTCCCCTTGGGGATTTTTGTAGAAGAGTCAGCCTTGGGGTGTCTGGCCAGAGTTTCCATTCCAGTCCTACAGCAGGTCACTGTGGCTGCATTAGCATGGTGATGAAAGGTTTGATACATAACATCACTGAAAGTTTAGATTCTGGGGACTGTTTGTGGACAGACCCTCTATCTGCTGAGCTTGTGGATTTCCCCTGCCAGAAAATTCCCCTTGTTCCACCATGGCCAGTGACTTCTTCCTGCATATTCAGCCAAGGATTGTAGCAAGTCCCTGAGTAAACCCTACACCTAGTACCACATAAGAGCTTTTTCTCTTTATTCTTTGCAGAACCAGCTGCTAAAGGACCAAAGTGGTGCTGGAGATGTGCTGAGGGCCAAGGAAGTGGCAGCCTGTGTCAAAGTGGGGGTGTGAGGCGTATCTTTCTAATATCCCTGCCTAAAAATCGCCTCCTGCGTGATTACAAAGAGCAGCAGAGAAGTGGAGAGTGAATGACATGGAGGACTTGGGAGGTTGTTAGGTCCATCACTGAGTCTGTTGTGGAGAAGCATTAGTGCCAAGGGAGTGCTTCCCCTTTCTGTGTGCAACATTTGTTGTTAATCCCTCTTTCCGCTGCCCATGTGCTACTGTTGGCTCATGCATGGATATGTGAATCTGCACCATAGCTGCCTGGCAGCGTGATCCCGCTGCAGAATGTACTCAGTGGCAGTAGTTTTTGTAGGTTTATATCAGTACTGATGTCACCCAGTGCTTAAAGCCAAGAGGTTAATGGGACATGGAGGTAGAGGGCTTGGTTCTCATTTATACAAAGGCCCTTTATGCTGCTCTGGCTTTTGTGGGCCTGGTGCAAAACATAGTTGTGGGCCCCCCTGGGAGCAATGGAGCATGGCGCAGGGAGATTGGTCCCCAGAGTGAGGGGCCGGCCAGGGTCCTGTCATGGATGGGGTGGCCTCGCTCTGCCCAGCCCAGTGCTAGGGCACTATTTACAAACTGGTCCGCCTGGCCCTGTGCTGCCAGCATGCCCCTTCCCCTCAGGGGTAGGTCCATGCTGTCCCCGCCCCCCACCACCGCCCAACACTGGAACACCCACCCCTCCCATTCCCTATGGCCAGAGCCCCCCCCCCCCGACCTCCTCCACAAATGCACAGTACCCTGCACAACACCACCTCTGCTCACAGCCCTACCGCAACTGCCCAGCACCCTTCACAGAACCCCCACTCCCTAGTCCCCCAACACACACACAGATCTTCCCCACCCCCACACAGCCCAGCACCCCCCCGCCAGACTCTCCAGAGACCCACTTCCCCCAGGCCCTGCTTCCTGGCCGCACTCACCAGCCCTGCTAGGAAGCGACTGTGTCTGCCGAGCTGAGCCACCAGTGCAGCCATGGCTGGTCCTGGAGCAGAGAATCACTCTGGCCCCTCAGGAGTGGCACAATCAGCCACTGGGCCTGCCCCAGCCGGGATCTCTCAGGACCCACTTGCCTGGAGGGGCCCAGCCAAGGCCCCCCCCCCCCAGTTGGCTGAGACTGGCCAGGCTTCTGCACCAGTTTCAGGCGGCTCAGCTACAGGGAAATAGGCAGGGCCTCGCAGGTGGTGGGAAGCAGAGACTGCCCGGAACCGGAGGTGCACTGGGGCCTGGCCAGGGGACAGAGAGAAGCTGGCAAGTAGGGCCAGGGGGTGGAAAGGAGCCCTCAGCTGGCTAGGGGGCAGGCTGAGAGGAGCAAGTGGGCAGGGAGGTGGGGGAGCCAGTAAGCTGGCAGGTTTTCAGGGCACAGTGCAAGCAGAGCAGGCCGGGGCCCCTTCTGAGCATGGGCCCGGCTCCGTGGTGCTCCTGGCACCATTGTAAACCCAGCACTGTAAAGGGGTCTCAAAGTAGGTGGAAATGGCCCCTGAGAATGCCCTTGGTATAGATGATTTCCCTGGCCTAACATATACCAGGGCCAGGCAGTGCCCTGCACAGCTCGAGATTCGACCCACGGCCTGGCCACGGCTGGCTCAGGCTGCGGGGCTAAAAATTGCTGTGTAAATGATAGGGCTCGAGCTGGAGCCCTAGCTCTGGGACCCTCCACCCTCACCAGGTCCCAAAAAATCTACGAAGATTTGTTTTTTTTTTTTCAGTCTCTAACCTGAGCCCCGTGACTCCCGCGAGCCTGACTCAGCTGATCCGGGCCAGCCGTGGGTATTTTATCCCAGTGTAAACACAGCTAAAGCCATCTTTGCCCTTTGCTGTCCCTGCCCCAAGTGCTGGAGCAGAGTAACTGAAAATTGGGCCTGTTAAGTTGCAGGAATGGTAGAGGCACTTAAGGAGGAAGCCAAGGAATGAGAGAGAACTGAAACTCATGTGGGTATTGCAGTGGTGTAGCCAGGTGTATCACCGTGGCTTGGCAGGCGATGTGCATGAACACACTTAGGAAACTTGCCGCTTCCCAAGTGGTTAATTCCGGGGTGCAGGCTGCTTCTGAGGCTTTGAGATCCTCTCCTAGAGGCTGCTGGAGACTGGAGTGGGAAGTCAGAGAGGCTTTGCAGCAGCGCAGCAAATGCCTGCAGTGAGTCTTGGGTCCCCCGCCCTCCACCTCTGGCCTGTGATCCTCATTTATCTAAACTCCACCTCATTAAGAGTCCCCAGAGCCATCCAGTCCCTTGGCTGAGTGGGAACCTCTTGAGTTTGTAAGGCCTAGCCTCCCCACACCAATCTTGACCACGGACTCTGCCGTTTCTTGTATGTGTGTTTGTGTATATATGCAAAGACAGGAGGATGTGTGTGTGTGTGTATATACACACACACTCTCTCTCTCTCTCTCTCTCCCTCCTCTCCTCCTGTCATTGTTACATTGTGTGTTTCTCCAGTGGGTGGAATGGGAAAACCCTTCTCATCTGTTTGAAACAGTGACTTATTGCTGATTTATAGCAGCATTATATTGAATTTTCCATGCCTGTGTGCGGGAATTAATTATGTGAGATGGGAAGCTATTTTCCGTCTTGTTCTGAGAAGACTCCCATGACGTTTACACAGGTTTATTACTTAGGGTAACTTTTAAGCCAATGAACTGGTGGGGGTGGGTGGTGAGTGTGTGTGTATTCACATCACTGCCCCATATTGGAGAGGATTTGAACTGCACAGCTTTGTTTTATGGTCCCTATACTGTAAAGTGCTAATGAAGATTTTCCTTTAGCTCAAGTGATAGGGGCTTGTGCTTTTTAGAGTAGCGGATTCTGAGTTCCATACCTGACATGACTGTGACAGCTATGTGTTGCTAAGTGGCATCCCATTTATCAAATGAGAATCTCAAATAAATTGACTGTCTCTTAATCCTCCAGAATTATTAGACCCAATTTATAGATGGGGAAATGGAAGCACAGAGATGAAGTGAATTTCCAAAGGTCACCTAGTGAGTAGCAGATTGAGGACTGGAACCCAGGAGTCCTGGCTCCCCGTCCCCTCCTCCAACTTCTAGAGCATATTGTCTTTTGTGGAGGCAAGGGTGCTGGAACAATTTGTATAGTGGGGGTGCTGAGAGCCATTGAACCAAACCGTAAACGCTGTATATGATAGAAACCATTTCAAGCCAGGGAGGGAGGCAGCACCCCGAGTTCCAGCACGTGTGGAGGTAGTTACATTGATTCCCAGGAAGGAGGTCACTGTTGCTGACATATTGCTTGTGTATCCTCTCTCTGAATGTGATGGGGTACCTCAACATGTTTTTATTTGTAAAGGTTGGGAACACTGTAAAAATGAGGATTGGGTTTAACAGTTGATTTAAACTCTCCGCCTTCTGTCAAGAGGCCAGAGGGTCCGCAGAGAGCAGGATGTGGTGGGGATTGGGGATGACCTTTTCTAGAGCAGGCCGTTGCTTCCCTTAGACTCTTCTTTACTCTGAGGGCTGGTTTGCGTACTGATTTATCTAAATCTATGCAGCCCTCTGCTACGGCACAGATTTAAACAAAAAATAGCGTTCTGAAAGTGCCAGGGGATCTCTCTGTTTTTACATCTCAGCAATGTGTAGGGGACATTGCTCCGTCTTGCTCTGCTAACACCCAGCTGGGGCATTAAGTTCAAGAAAGGAGGGTGGGGGGGCCAGGAAGCTAAAGAAAAATATATTCCCTTCATCCTGAGAAAAGTCCTGACATCAGCTGACCCCCAGGGGAGGAATATCTGTGACCTTTCAAAACCGGTCAAGTCATTTGTGGCGATGAACAAGACTCGTGTATTTTTTTTGGCAGGCACATTTGGAAAGGAAAGCGAGAGGCACCCAGTTTAATGGTTGCTGCAAGCCATCCATGCTTTTGTTCCACCCTGGAGAAGAGCTGTAAACTAGTCAAAGGCAGGAAAAGGAGTACTATGTATACAATGGGAACTGTGTGTGTAGAGCAGGGGTGGGCAAACTTTTTGGCTCGAGGGCCACATCTGGGTATGGAAATTGTATGGTGGGCCATGAATGCTCACAAATTTGGGGTTGGGGTGCGGGCTCTGGGGTGGGGCCAGAAATGTGGAGTTTAGGATGCAAGAGGGGGCTCTGGGTTGGGGCGGGAGGGGAGGGCTCATTTGGGGTGTAGGAAGGTGCTCCTGGCTGGGAGGGCTCTGGGGTGGGGCCAGAAATGTGGAGTTCAGGGTATGGGGGGGCTGGGGCAGGGGACTTGTGGTGCGGGAGGGGGTCAGGGGTGCAGGCTCTGGGCGGCACTTGCGTCAAGCAGCTCCTGGAAGCAGCGGCATGTCCCCCCTCCGGCTCCTATGTGGAGGTAAGGTCAGGCGGTTTACAGGCTGCCCCATCTGCAGGTACCGCCCCTGCAGCTCCCATGAGCCGTAGTTCCTGGCCAACGGGAGCTGCAGGGGTGACGCTTGGGGCAGCAGCTGTGTGCTGATCCCCCTGGCTGCCCCTAAGCATAGGAGCCAGAGGGGGGACATGCTGCTGTTTCCGGGAGCCTCTGCACAAGCGCGCGGAGCGGCTTCCGACCCCACTCCCTGGCTGGAGTGTGGAAGCAGGGCGAGTCCCAGACCCCACTCCCCAGCAGGAGCTGGAGGGCCGGATTGGAGCACCTGGAGGCTCCCGTAGTTTGCCCATCCCGCTGTAGAGAGAAAATCTATAGCAATATATCTACACCTCTAAACCTATGCCGGCCTGAAACGGACCCCCACCTTTCGTGTGAAAAGTGAGCCTAAAGGGAGACCCTCTCGGATCTCTCCTGGCCTAGCTTCAGAAGCTCCCCAGAGGAGACCAACCCTTTTATTTTTATTTCTTCCTTTTTTGGAGGTTGGAATTTGCAGCAAAAGAAAGTCACAGCTGTTCGCTTTGTGCCCCAGCCAAACACTATGGCACCTGGGCCATTTGGAGCAAGACAAAAGTGCGGGGTCGGGGGGGACAGTGTACGGTAGGTAGGGATGTGTGTGTGCGTGATGGGGCCTTTGTGTTCCTGGCCCGGCCTCGGGGCCTGGGCTTCTGAGCCTGCCTGTATCACAGAGACCAGGCCGAGTAGCTGCAGCCAAGGGGGGCGCTTAGCACAGCGGCTGGTTCTCATTACACAGCCGGGCCAAGCACTAGACCCGGACCGTGCCGCGGCCCCACGCCGCCTACAAGCCCCAGGCTGCAGCGGGGCGCCCGGGACCGGCCCCAGCTGCCGGCGAGGAGGTGGGGCATGGGGAGGCAGGGCTGTATAAGACCCGAGGCAGGGCAGCGGGCGTGCCGGGCAGAGGGCAGCGCGCCGCGGGGATGGAGGCGGGCGGTCCCCGCACGCCCTGCTGCCGGAGGACGCGCACGGGGCCCCTTGCGGAGCGTTTCTTCCTCCTGCTGCTCCTGCTCCCCGGCCCCGCGGCCGCCTCCGAGGCACCAGGTAAGGGAGAGCGGGGCGGTCGCAGGGGCAGAGCCCCCAAGGGGTCCCTGGCCTGGGAGAGGGGCCCGGGCCACGCC